TAATGCTGCATTTGAAATATATTTATCTTGTTATGTACTATTCATTACAATATTTGTATGTGCTAGTCTGTATTTCATAAATTTCCCGATACTGATACAAAATRTATTAAAATATAATAATATACTTAAACCATTAATCGTTTTATCAATAAATACGATTTTAATTTTCTGGGATTAGATTGAACAACAATATTTTCATGTCTGAAAGTAGCTGGTAGGGAAATTTGAATACCAGYCTGGCTGGTCCAGYCAAYCGGTATGTTGATCGTAAAATATTAAGAGAGTAATCGGTACCTAAACTAACCCGAAAATATGAGTTGACCCTAAAATATAAATTTTGTTTTGGACGCAACTGGGCCATACCCGATATAACAACTTCCATCCTACGATATAATAATATCACCTTCGATCATATACTAATTCGTATAAATGTTGTATACCTATATGATGTTAAGATCTAAAATCTATATTAAGGTCGCCACACACTGCAGCGGTGGCGGTAAAATTCTTTTACTTCTACAAAATGCAGACCATGATAGGAGTGTGCGTAGATCTTGGCCGCAGGGTATGCAACTGATAAAGCGTGATTTCCCGAAAATATAAATGCCCCTAAATGAATGATCATACCATTTATCATAATAGCTATTAATGTTATTTTACTCCTTTTGATTAGAAAACATTATGTTTTTCAACAATACCTATATCATAATTAAGGTATATATTGTTAATAAATTTGCCGTTCCCGCTTATCATGATGGTAAATTTAATGAGTATAATATAAGCTAAAAAAAAACTATAGAAGTATACGCCGTAAACAATKCGTACACGACCATTGATCGGTTTTAAACGTCTATAACATTATAAAATCAATCAATTAATGTTATGTCGTGTATTATAATGTTGTTGCTCATTACACAAATTGCTTTTWATAATAGGTATAGACAATAGGTTTATAATTAAATCGTTAATTGTATTATTGAAATATTGATTCAAAGCTAGACCTAAATAGAAATGTAATGGACAATTTGAATGGTAATATTTAATAATATTATGATTTATACGAGGTATAATATTATATCATAAATGAATCGTCAATTTTCGTTGTTGTCATAACAAAAATGTTGTRACCTAACCAGATACATATTGTAAAATTTAAACTATGCACAGATGCAAAAGAGTAATAATAATGATTAAACGTCTATGATCGTGCCTGATTATGAGAATTATTATATTATATTCGTAAATCATAATAGTTATTAATTTAAGGAACAAAAAAACAATTTAACTACAMTTTATTTTTCTGTTGTGATTTTTGTATGCAACTTGTAATTTCTGAATAAATTCCTCMTAGAGTGTAGGGCAAATCCTCACTTTATAATTAAATAAATACATAATCGAGAATTAAAATCATGAATAGTTAATTTGAAGGCAAGTAAAATATCAAACAACTCGCTTTACTGTATTTAGTAGGTACCTATTGAGAATGTATCTCATGCATATAAAAATAAAAATTTAAAAATACACATAATTATAAAATAAATACATTTATCGAAATGTAAAATCTAAAACTATTACAACGAAAAT